AGTTTCCAAGGTGAAGTTACATTTTGTATGTATTATTTATCATATTGCCTAGATATTGCCTATCCTCTGTTCGGCAAAGTATGAATATTTTCATTCCTAGTATCCAGAGGTTAAGAAACATTTATAGAATACAAAGCAGTTTTTTTTTTTATCATTTTAAAGTGAACATGAGCAATTATTTTAAATTTAGACCAAGGTGTTAAGAAATATTAACTCATTATGGGCCATATTTTACTCTCATTTACAGGATTATAAAATCTGAATAATTCTATTTGCCTCAATGCAGTATTTCCAGATTTACTCCTCTCAAATGATTTCACTAGAGTTTCTTTGAATTTATACCATTCCGAGAGCAGAATTTGGCCCAGCATTCACTGAAATTTGTTTAGCATGTAAGTCTAAGTCCTTACTTAGTTCACAAAGTAGGGAAAAAAGGCCCTAACAACTGTGACAACCAATATCACTTCACATGGGAGGCAAAATGCCGGAGGCACCTTCCTTTATTGTTCGCAAAATATTTCTTTGGACACAAAATGAAATCAAGTTAAGCTTTGGTTTGTAGGTAATATTGTTTATACTTTTAATACATACACTGAAAAATAAAATAACCTTCTATATGTTTGTGTCCAGAGTCAGATGTAGAGAGGCAGGTGAAATTGAAAACAAATGCACATAAAACTTTTTCTAACTTCAATACAGGCTCAGTTGGAGTTGTGGGTCAAAATTCAGGTCACTGCTTATTTCTAATTCATGTATGAAATAAAAAACAAAGTGATGAGATATTCTAGCTTTTTCTCAGTCTCCTCCACCCAAAAAACTTTCATTTTGTCAGCTAGAAGCAATGGAAAGATGGGACATGACATATATATGCCTATGCCTTTGTGCCAGTTAGAGGATTAATGTAATCCAAGGTCATTTGTCTTGCCCTATTATTCATCCATAATTCATGGTAGTTAAAGAGGGAGAAGGCTAAAACTGGGAATCGGGGGATTTACATTTCATTCTTGACTCTGTCACTGATTTGTGTGTGACCTTGGGCAAATCACTTAATCTTTTTGTGTCTCAGTTTCACAATATGTACAACAGGGATAATAATATATCTCTACCTTACAAGGTGTTGAGTATTACTTAAAGGTTGTAAAGCACTTTGAGATCCTTGTATTAAAGACACTATTGAAGGGCAAAGTATTACTATTATTAGAGGCACAACGTAGGGTGGGTAATATCTTTTATTGGACCAAAATATATTACCTACCTGACCTTGTCTCGCTCATATCCTGGGACCAACACAGCTACAACACTGCAAACTATTATTACTATCAGAATTCTGAGCCAGATTCTATGGAAAACCAATGACAGGGAGCTAAGAGAGAGAAAAATTCTATTAAATTACCTTTGCCATTTCCCCAAGATCATTACGTCTGTGTGTGTATGTGCATGTGTACTTGCTTTCCAGCTGAATGGGCAGGGATACAGTCCTGAGATCTGTACAGTGCCTAGAGGATCCACTTGAGACAGAAGCCATCCATACTGAGGCCTGTGAAACTGCACCAGTCAAAGGGCCTTGTTCCCCTCTCTCTTCCCAGGAAGCTGCCCTGCCAGCGACAGTTCTGCCCACTGCTGATCCCACCTCTTCAAGAGGGGTTTACAGTGAAATGTTAATGCAGCCTCTTCTCAGGAACAGACCAGATTCAGCAATCAGTGAAGCTGCACTGGTCAATACGAGTTGGCTGCAAGTGTAGACAAGGACAAGCAGAGACTTGCATTCATTGAGCTAATCATGGTTTAGGCCTGCTTCAAGTGTACTGAAAACTCTGTAGCCCAGATCTTCCTCACTAACCCCACTGTTAGTGCCATATACATGTTAAACAAAAAGGGAGACAAGATGGAGCTTTCCATAACTCCACACAAGAGAACCTTCAGGACAGAAGAAGAATGCCTGTAGCCTGAAGCATTGAATCTACTGCCTGACCCTGTCCACAATGTAAATAACCTGTACACCAGAGGGACTGGATTCTTAATGTCCCTGGGCAGTAATATAAGTTTTGTGACTTTTCATGGAATTTCTCATTTTATTAAAACGAATGAAATAAAAACAAATAGTTGTGTGTAATAGCATCAAGGGTTTGATACAAATGCCACAGGAAGTACAACAACAACAAAAATCAATATTCTTCCATTGCTAACCCAACCAATTGTTCCAGGTACTGCAAGTATACCTAAAATCTCAGTGATTTCACAAGCATAACATTGCAGCTGTAGAACAAAGATTCGCGTTTCTTGTGTTGATTTGTTACATTAATTTGTCCATACTTTAAATGATGATTTGTATTTAATTTAAACTAGTTGTATGATAAACTAGGGCTAGATTCTATTCCCCTTATTCCCGCTGACTAGTACCTTACTCCACGGGTAACCCTACTGAAATGAACAGGACTACTTGGAATAAGGTACTAGTCAATTTGAGTAAGGGTGGTAGAATTTGACTGCTAGAGACTAGCTTACATACCATAGAATATAGATCCCATATAGTATTAAAAAACATTTTGTTCAAAGACTCAGATTTCAGTGAAGTCTGTGATACCATGAGAAGAAATATGGGTTTAGTGGAAAGCAACATAACCTTACAAGAGTCTACCCCAAATGCTGGTTCTTTGATCTCTAATTCCCATGCTTATTTACAGTATTTCCTGTTAATTTAAACAGTATCATGAACCACACATCACAACAAGGGTAAAACTAAACAGGAAATGCTCAAGCAGACCTTTGGTCTCAAAAGTGACTTACTGATACTGTATAATCTGACAAAGAATGTCTTTTGGTATCTTTCATTTGCTTTTAAAATGAATTCACTGCTCATGAAAGGAGTGACAGTGCTGAAAACTGAAGTCGATTTGGCCACAGAAAAGACATTCTGGGCCTAATTCCCCACTGCCTCATAGCTTGTATAGGCTCTTGCACTTGTGTAAAGAGCTACCAGATGAGAATGGCAGCATTCTACACGCATTCTGCCCAAGATTTGCACTCTTGTAAATGGCTGTACAAGTTGGAAAACATACTACTCCATACCTTGCCATTATGTCTCAGCACTGACCCAATAGTGCAAATTAAAAGTTGACTTGCAAAAGAAAAAAATTGGTCATATATTCTTTTTTGCTTCTTAGTGGTTTATAAACAAACCCTGGAAGGTTTTGTTTGTTTTTTTTTCTGCTTGTTAAAAATAAGAGATCTTGTCTAGCCTGGAAGCCAACAGTGACTGGAGCATTTGTGAAATAATGATATCTTTTATATCTCTGTCCATTGTGAGAACTCATAATACACTCTTTTCCTCTTTCCCCTTCCCTAGGTCCTGCAGTAAAACTAGGAAGGGCAAAATCTGACATATTTCCAAAGTTATTTTTAAGAAGCAGAATATATATATATATATATATATATATAGAAATGGCACAAACTCACATTTTAAAGTTATTTACAGGTCACTTTTAAAGAATAGTTCATTCTGAAAAGTTCTCTGTAAAAATAGAATTTGAGGGTCCATATTTATTGTCCCTAACTAATTTTGACACCAAATATTTTCAGTTTATAAGTAAAAAATATTTGTTTTAAGTGCTAGGTATACACCCTCTCTGCCCCACACTCCCGGGATCCACAAGTCCAGGCGTTTTTCTTTCCTTCTCCTCCTCAATAACAAAGGTATTGCAGGCCAAATGCTCTCTTCAGCTACAGGAGAAAAATGTAGTAAAACTATTCTTTGTCTTCAGTGCACAAGCGTACTTACTGTCATTAAAATTTAGCTCACAATTTATTGATGATAGACAAGAAACAGAATCCAAGTCTCTCTCTCAGTTATATTTTTGGCTCTGTGGGGCTAACAGGAATGAAAACAAGTAAAACATATTTGTGTCACTGAAGTGTGCAGAATGCAGATATGACTCTACATATAAACAAGAAGCAGATCAATTGAGTAAGAAATTGCCATTTTTACATACTGACTTCTCAGCATAGAACCACATTTAAAAGAATACAAGCGTGAATTCTTAATGCCCTTTCAACCCTCAGCCTTTCTGCTGAGACTATGAAAAGGAACTAAATTATTGCAAGTTGTGGTGGCAATTTTCTAATGTGGACATCTGCCACTAGGAACTATACTGAGACCAGGAGCTCATTTCACATAGTCCACCATATAGAGTTCAACCATTTCTTCCCTTGGCCAGATTTGAACCGGTATTCCACAGGTGAAAAGTGCTGTATGCTATCACCTGAGACATCTAACCCTCCAAAATAGTGTACCCTTAAACAATTGCACTAACTCTTGCTAAAAAAAAATATAGTATGTTTATTATTTGGCTGCTAGAGAACTAGCAGTTAGACAAGGTAAACATTCACATGAACTAGTAGTATCCCCAGATTTATTTTAACAGTATAGCTATTAATCGTGGCTCCATTCAAGTCAATGGGAAAATCTGTCACTGGCTTCAGTGGAGCCAGGATTTTACCCATTGTCTCTGTACAAACAAGGAAGAGCACATTTTCTATTCTATTCTATTCATGTTCTTATGCTGGGCCCATCCTTGTGTGTATTGAGAGTTGTATCTGTTTTTGATACATGCTTTGTAAGAAACACAGACAGACAATTAGTGCTTTCCAAATGTAAGATGAGAAAACTGCAAGGAAAATAAGTTCTATATGTTCTAAAATAGGTTCTAAAAGGAAATCATCAATACTGAAAAAGGGGTTTTAAATAAATAGATGCATACTTGACAATGGCATTTCATTAACGATGACTTCTTGTTACACGTGGCAAAATTAGAGTGTGACAAAACATGATCTGGAATTCTCTTTAGTACATCCAATAACAAATAACAGCACAACTTCTGAATGCCCTGGTATGTGTATAATTTCTCCATATTTTTTCACATAAACAGAGAACCTGAAACATAAAAAGCTATGTATTTAGACACCTGATCTCTACAAATCTGTAATGTTTTCCAAAGGTGGCGAGAGCTGACTCTAAGAATTCAAGAGGGAAAGTAAAAGTGAACAATATGAAGAACATTCCAACAGTTGACCAGGGTGCCCAGTAGATACAGTAAGTGACCTTCCATAATTTATACTCTTCCTTTTTCCCTTTCTTTTTGTGAAATTTCAGTTTGAAAAATAGGAACGTAAACTGAAAAGGGAACAGGCAAACATATAGCATATTACATCTCAGCTTACTAACAACTGTGAAATATGTGACAGTTTAAAAATACATTGGGCCATATCCCACTCAATTTGCTCATTTGAGTAGTCCCGCTGAAAACAGTGAGACTACTTTCATTTAATAGGGCAGAGAAGATCAGGATTAGTCCATTGTTCCTGAAAGACCAGTAGAATGTATGGGCCAAGTGGTATACTGATGAGTTTGGACTCCTTTAATAAGGTGATGTGACTTGGTGGTAGCATAAATATCACCTAATTGCAGCCACTCTTATGTTAACTAATCTTTTTTATATTGCAACAGTTAAATAGTTATGTAAAACATGCATAATTGCAGAGGCAAAATAATAAGGTTGTCATATCTCTCTTCTAAAAATGTGAATAGAGGATTGTAATTTTAAAAACTCATTTATGCTCAAACATTAATAGGCAGTAGGTTTCAAACAAAGAAAAGGAAGAACTTATTCACACAATGCACAGTCAACCTTTGAAACTCATCGCTAGGGGATGTTGTGAAGGCTAAAACTATAACCAGGTTCAAAACAGAGCTAGATAAATTCATCGAGGTTAGGTCCATCAATAACTATTAGCTAATATGGAAAGAGATGCAACTCCATGTTCTGGGTGTCCCTAGTCTCTGACTGACAGAAGGTGGAAGTGGATGACAGGGGATGGATCACTCAGTGATTGTCTGTTCTGTTCATTCCCTCTGACTACCTGGCATTGGCCACTGTCAGAAGACAGGATGCTGGGCTAGATGGACCTTTGGTCTGACCCAGTATGGCCATTCTTATGTAATTCAAGGTTAAGATTTCCTGTACCATCCTCATCTTTGTGCTCTCATTCCCAACTATTTTTCATTTTGCAATCATAGATTACAACAGCATGGGTTTTTGATGACGTGACCCACGACACCCTTTTATCAGCTGGGGTATTGCCAGTTTTGCAGAGATTTACACTGCACTGAGAGGTGAGCCTGTTGCCCACATGTGAAGGGAGCACACCATGCAGGTTAATCTCTTGCCTACATTTGGAGTTTAGGGTCTCCGATCAGTACTGGAAGGGTGAATGGGGTACATGGGATTTCCAGATGACATCTGGATAATGGATGGGAACAGAATAGTGTATGTGGAAAGTAAGATATAAGGTTTCAAAGTGCACATACAAAATTTCAGGTGGGATGGGGGTATGTGTGAGAAACTTCAGTCTAGGGATCAAAATTGGATTTATAAAGTGAATTATAGTATAGCTTGGAGCATGAAGGGAACTACCATCACAAGGCAGCGGTAAAACATGCATGCTCTTTCTTTTTCATGTTTACTTTTTCAATCTCATGAGATTTTATCATGAGTATCACAATATTTGGTGTTTTTTCAAAGTCCTAGCTCCCACAGTCCTGTGATTACATGAGAATCTCAGCTTTCATTTTACAACAACAACAACAAAGTACATTTCTAGCCTTCATTGTTGTGAGTGAAAAAAGCTTGAAAACATGAAACATACAGGCTCATATGCCAGAAGAATCCAAATAAAAAAAAATCCAAATGTGTTATTTTAAAAATCTCATGATTTTTAAACTAATCTCATGGTTGTCTGATGTCTGATTCATGAAATATAGGAGCTGTCAATACTTCAATCTCTTAGTTTCAACAAACACAATATAAATAACAATAAAGCACATAATACTCTGTCACTGGTGGATTTTATGTGACACTGGCAAAGAATCACACAAAGAGTCACTTTCTTCTAACACAGAGCAAGGAACTCTACTGGACATAAGAAAAACATTGTTCCTTCTAAGGCCTTGTCCACACACAAAAGTTGGACTGTTTTAACTATACTGGTGTAGTTGAAGTGGTACAACACCCCTAGTGCAGATGCAGTTATAGTAGTATAAATGTACCTATGTCAGGGTAGATAATAGGTTATCCAAGTATAAGGGCTAGTCTACACTGGCAACATTAAAGCACTGCCGTGGCTGTGCTTTGACGTGTCTTGTTTAGTCGCAGCGCAGCTCTGAAAAACCACCTCCACGAGGGGCATAGCTCCCAGCACTGGGAGCGCGGCTCCCAGCGCTGGTGCGCTGTCTACGCTGTCTACGCCGGCGCTTTACAGCTGAAACTTGCTGCGCTCAGGGGGGTGTTTGTTCGTTCCCCTGCGTGAGAAAGCTGCAGCGCTGTAAAGCGCTAGTGTAGACAAGCCCTTAGGCACCTTTATATTGGTATAACTGCGCCCACACTACTAGGGGTTGTGCCAGTGTAACTATTTTGGTAAAAATTCTCACCTCTAACTTAAATAGTTATACATTGCGGATAGGTCACGCCTAAGGCTTTGTCTAGGCTAGGTCTTAAAGGTGTGTTAGTTAACATGTGATAACTAACATTTTCTACGTCCAGTGTAGACAAGGCAGTACATACTTTAACATATTGCTAAGCTTGTTTTAAAGCCTAAATTCCCCTTGACTTTAACTCAACCAGCTCAGTATGTATTAAAACACACACTGCCTTGTCTATCCCAGAGTTTTATAACATATTAGTTAATAGGTGTTAGCTAATATGTCCTAAGAGCACACCTTTAAGACCTTTAAGTAGCCTAAAGCTACTCTCTCTGCTTCATTGCAAAGCTTGTGCTTCCAACCTTGCCAGCCTTTCTCCTGCCTGGCTCCTGCTTACCAATTTGAAGAAACAGTACCCAGACCTCATAGTAAGTGGAAAGAAAGGATTGGATATCCCTTATTTAGAAAGAAGAATCCTTACGTTACAGGGACAAAAATAATAATGAGATAAAAGCACATCATATTGTTATGACCTTTAGACCCATACCTTTAGAACACTGAATATTAACTAAAATAGATGGTGGGTGGTTCTCAAGTTTTAGTAAGCAATTATTTGAATGAAGAAACATTCTTTATTTTTATGATTCTTTGACACAAAATGCCACACGTGATCAATCTGTGTTGGTAAAAAAATTATTCCAGTTCTTTAGAATAACTTTTTAATAGAAAATATGTCTATAAATATGACTCATTTATCCAGTAGAGATGGAAACATTTGAGATTCAAAGACAATTAGGAACAAGGATGGTAAAATAGAAAAATAGAAATGTATTAATATTAAACTTATAGATTATAGTTTCTCAAGAAGTCAGTATACAGACGGTGGAGTATTACATGGGAGATTACATTAGAGGGCTATTATTTTATAAATAGATACTGAAATATCAACTGTCATGAGGAGTATTGGAGTCCAAATAGCTCAAATAATCAACAAAAGTGACAAGGTAGCAGTTGGTTGTCTGGAAGAGATCAAAGAGACCAGGTGAATGAGATCTTTTATTGGATTAATTTCTGTTGGTGAGAGAGACAAACTTTCAACAGAGCTCTTCTTCAGGTTTCTGAGTAAGCGTGAAAGCTTGTCTCTCTCACTAACAGAAGTTGTTCCAGTAAGAGATATTACCTCCTGGTATCTCTAATATCCTGGGACCAATATGGCTACAACAAAACTGCATGCATGGAAGAAGTCAAGTTAGATGTAATCACAGTTTAGGAGGGTATTGTTCTATTAGTGGTAAAAGTGTAGCTCAATCGTTTGCGGGGGGGGCCGGGGGGGGGCGAAGGGGGTACTACATTGTCTTGATTAGGCATAAAGGTGTTTCTTTTAAAGTAAAAGAGAATAACTCCCCCCCTCTCAATTTCAGCTGATATCAACCCATTGCGAGTTGCATACTTTGATGGAAAATATTTAGGCACAGTGGACATAAAAGTTTATTTTAAATTAATAGAATTTGCTTGGGAAAACTGTATTGTGAACATTTTTATTACATAAACAGTGAAGGAAATTCACAGAAATTTATCAATTTTTTTTTATTCAGTGAGGAGCAATTATCAGTGATTAAAGGATATACTGTAATTAGTCCAGCAGCCTCACAGTCCTACACTTCAACATATGCAGACATAAATAGCAAATTGCACTTAATTTTGTGCTTTGAGTGCCTGATCTGAAGCCCACTTGAAGTCAGCAGAAAGACTCTCATTGGCTTCAGTGTGTTTTGGATCAGGTCCTTAACTCTTAGTTTATGAGGGGCTGTTTTTGTTTTTAGAATATAGAGCAGAAACATTGACAGCAGATTCTGTTTTGAGAACACTCCAGGAACAAAGAAAGATAGGCATGTCCTTTGAAAGTTAAATGAATGATGAAAAAGTGTCACCGAATGAGAAAAACAGGCAAATTTGAACCAAGATTCACAATTAACTGCAAAATGGAATCGTTAGTGCCTGTGCTCATTATAGAGCTAGAGATTGAGGCAGTCCAATTAGTGCTTATGCATGAGACCAATAAACTCACAGTCAGGATAGACAACAGTGGCCCCAGTAATAAAAGATGTTTTGTACATGTTTAGGAGATTGTGTGGTGCATTTGTGAAACAGTAGGTAATTGTATTTTCCCTCAGTTTTTCAGCATCAGAGATTAACCTTATTTGTTTTTGTAAAGACTTGCTCCACTTGGCCTCAATCACTGTTCTGAAGTGAAAAATAACATCTGCAATAAAATCGCAATTTGTAAAAAACAATTTTAGGTCAATAGATCTAGATTGGTTCTTGTTCACAATACAAAGAGTTTTAGGAATTCTCTCTGTTTATAAACAAAATATTATCATTCAGTGACTAATGGTGAGAGGTGTTTAATGAACAATGCCTGCGACCACAATATGCATGAGTAAACCTATTAAAGGTATTCAACATATGTTGACTGAGAACAGATGAGAGCCTTCTGGAGAAAGAATTCCTTGCTTTCCTGAAGGTTTCTGTGCAAATGAGACTTTTTACTAGCTATAAGCAAGGAGAAATTACAGTTATAATGGGGCTTGAATAGTAAACATTATTTTTATTTATGTTGTGGTAAGTGCTTCAGGATCCCCATCAGGGATCAAGGCCCCACTGTCTAGGCACCATACAAACAATCAGATCATTTCAGATAAAGAGAGGGAGAAGGAGGCAGGAAAGTTGCAGGGCCGAGGGGAGGTAGAGAAGGCAGCTGTCAAAATATTTCAGAGTGTAATGAAAGGTACGTTCTATTTGTTTTTATGTGTGTGTTCCAACACTTTGGCTGGGTCATTCAGGGCTGCTGCCATCGGTAGGGGAGGGTAGGAAGTTTGGGTCTCATCTTAGAAGGGGTCCTCCTTGTCATCCTCCCCAAACTTGTCAACAGGTTGATAGCTTAGTACTGATTCTGTCACTCATCTTTCCCGTTCTCCTTACTGTAGCAATTGGCTAAGGAAAAGAAAAGAGTTGGAGAGGCGGCAGGAAAGGAGAGAAACAGGGGCTGGGGAGGAGAATGGTTGCTGTATCAGAGACAGGAGGCCAAGGGAGTGGAATCAGGAGGAAAAGCAAAAGACAAGGAGAAGGGACTGGTGAAGAGGGAGAGACACATAATACTAGAGGCTAGAGGATAAGAATGGCAGGGAGGCACAAAAGACTAGGGGACCAGTCCCTGTCCCAGATATATCACTTGCAAACGGCAACACTTCCTCAAATAATGTACAAACTGGATATCCTTCTACTTCATTGTACCCGCTGTGGGTAATTGGGGAGGGTGCACTTGCAGTCTGATGGCAGATCTGGTCTCACAATCTGGTCTCACCCACTTCCATTAATATTTTAAACAAAAATCAGTTCCTCTTTTTCATAGGTACTTGACACTTCCATGGATGATTTGTTGAGTTTAATATAATTAATTCTCTTTACCATACTGATATCTAAGTTACATACAGTATAACAACTAGCCTTCCCACTTTCAAGAGTCATTAAGAATGTCATCCTTCTGACCTGCTGAGTGATTATAATTCTTCCACCTACTCCTTTAGAAAAATGATGATTTTGTACCACAGTAGACAGTAATAAACATGGGCCTTATTCTTTTCTTAGACATGTGGTATACTGTATATTACCACATATCTGAGTTCTCTTGGTTAATCTATGTGAGAAAGACACCCTATGCTTTAATTATAATAATAATAATTATTGCCCTATTTGTATTGTGATGTATTTGTATTGTGATGACCCCAAAAAGACACTTTTAGGTCCCAAAAGGTTACCTCCTAAGTAAAACAGATGGTGAGTACACAGGATATGCAGGGAAACTGAAACACAGAATAAGTAGGATGCTTTTGTTTAAAAATTATTCTAATAGTATTATATTATTAAGTCAATTCTTGTGTCTTCATGGAAGTGAGTCTTTCAGAGAGGTTTGCATGAAGAGAGGAAAGTGTCTTGGCAGAATGGAAATCAAGGAAAGGCTGAGTATTGGAAAGTGCTTCCTGACCTGAGAGTGAAATCGACCAATCTGTAGAATAGTTTCCCCAGGTACACGCCTCATCCTTGAAGGCATTTAAACACTGACTTATTTTTGTCCTGATTATAGTTTTGTCTTTGTCCATATCTGTTGTGAGTACAAAGTTAAAAAAGAAACTCAACATAAAAGCCATATCTTGGACACAATATCTGTCCTTGCTGTGAATACTGTTTTTTTAAAAAACGTCTCTTCTTGTTTTTGTTTTCAGGGAAACCATCGCATTAGCCCCAGCGAAAACAGCATACCATGTGCAATTTGTGGATTAAATGGATAGAAATTACAATGCTGCTTATTATGGTTGATGGCCAACTGTTCAAGCAGGCAAAGGCCCCGCTGCTACTCCACAAACCTTTCATTGTTGTTTGGAATGCACCTACGGAACAGTGCAGGCTGCGGTATAAGGTGGACCTAGATCTCAGAGTTTTTGACATTGCATCAAACACCAATGAAACTTTGAGTGGATCCAATGTGACAATCTTTTATCACACTCATTTGGGGCATTACCCCTATTACTTAGACACTGGGGTTCCTGTCAATGGAGGGGTGCCACAGAATGAGAGTCTGATAAAGCACCTTAACAAAGCTAAGTCTGACATTGACCATTCCATACCCATGAAGAAATTCCAAGGACTTGCAGTCATTGACTGGGAAAACTGGAGGCCCCAGTGGGACAGGAACTGGGGTAATAAAACCATTTATAGAAATAAGTCTCTCGAACTGGTTAGGAGATGCCATCCTCAGTGGTCAGAGGACAAAATTAGGAAAGTTGCTAAGGAAGAATTTGAAAATGCTGGCAAAAGTTTTATGAACAACACTATCCTTCTGGCTGAGCACATGAGACCGAATGGTCTGTGGGGTTATTATCTTTACCCAGACTGCTACAATTATGATTACAAAGAACATCCGAAAGCTTACACAGGTAGATGCCCAGACATTGAATCTTCCCGCAATGATCTTCTGCTTTGGCTGTGGAAAGAAAGTACCGCTCTTTATCCATCCATATATCTGGATTATATATTGAAGTCAAGTCCAAATGCTCTGAAGTTCGTTCACTATCGGGTTAAGGAAGCAATACGTATTGCCTCCATTGCTAGAAAAGACTATGTTTTGCCTGTTTTTGTTTACTCCAGACCATTTTATGCCTATACTTTACATGTTTTGACAGAGGTAAGCAGACATATATAGAAATCTAAAGATTAGCCACGCAATCTCTTGGAAAAAGCATATCCTAGGACTTTCTCCTTGTATAATAACAATTATAGATGCATTTCTGTTTCATATATAGAACTATCCTGGTAAAGAAAGACACTACAGTCATGGTACAAAACACTACAGCTTTCAATAGAGATCCTGCTGTGGTTTGGTCTATTACTGTACAATAATATTGTATTCTTTTTATGAGAGTAATTTAGAAGAAAGTACAAAGCAATTGTTTCCTTAAGTAATTAAATATTTCAGATTAATTCTTCAGCTTGAGAAATGGAGTTGACAAATCTCAGTGAAGTTTGAAATCCGCTAATATTAAGGGAAGATAAACGTTCATGAGAAAGGAATCTCAGGGTTGAGTTTATTTGTTTTCTTCCCAAAATGGAAGCTCCCTTGGTACAGAAATTAATGAGACATATCAACTAGGTAAGCCCAAGTTTAGCTTGGCGTTCCTAGCTCCTGCATGAGAAAACTTGCACAGAGGCAGAATGTGACAGCAGGCTTCTTAGAGGAAGGATGACTGTGTTCTCCTGGCCATATTGTTTTCTGAAAGTACAGTATGTCTGATCATGCACAGTAACTGAGTATCTGGGTTTTGGCTTTTTAAATCTACTGTATTACAAAAATACAATTTCTGTGTCATGTGACGCCTCTTCAGCCAATGATAATTGAAGGAAATATTTTAAAAAATACAATCAAAATATGCAGGTTACAAAATAAATGTACAGACATCAAGATTTCTGATAACATTGTGGTAATCATAACCCTTGTCTTGGATCTTGTCTATGCAACTGCTCAGAGCATGTAATTCCTGAATGGCTTCCTAAATAGCCTTTTGCTTTAGGCTGGCCAACCCTGGACATGGAAGGATTTGGTTTGATCCATACTTGAGGTGTGGACCCAGTTGGAGGGAAGGGAGCTCCCTCCCGACAGAACAAATAGCCCTCTTTGGATACTGATGCCCCCCGCCCCGCCTCACAGCCCCACTCTTGGGTCATGGAGAGCTGTGGTGTTCGCCATACAAAAATGGTATCATGGTTGGTGGCTTGGAGTGTCAGGGGCTCAATATCAGGGCTGTATCCGTCTACTTTCGGTTGCCATGGGTGTGTGTGCGTATTCAGTCCCACAGGTTCCAGAGTGCTCCCATCTGACTGCTCCAGTTTGGAGCTATGAGTGGGGGATTCCTGTTGGAGCTGTGCAGACCCAGGCAGTCTCTCTGGCTGCTTAGTGAGGAAACGCAAGGTATACAGCCACCTTTTCAGAAGCTTTCACTAACTTTGTGTGCCTCAGCTTGTTAGTTCTCAGCTGGAGATTCCTCCATGAGGCATCGGAGTTTCAGAGATACCAAGGATTTTTTTCCATGGGAACTACCTGTCCTCAGCACCTCTGACAAAATCAGGCACCCAGGGGTGAAATCCTGGCCCCACTGAAGCCAATGGGAGTTTTTCTATTGACTTCAGCAGAGTTAGGATTCCATCCATGGTGTCTCCATCTGAGAACTCAAAATAGAGGCACACAAAGTTAGTGAATACTTCAGCAAGCATTGGCTCTAATAGGTATGTTCATCATAAACATAGATCTCGGGATTAAAATGAAAATACCATTACCACTAGCTAAACATCCTATAATATGAAATCTAGCACAATTATATATTATGCAAACCTTCGAACATACGAGGCTGTACAAAGTTAATTGTTTACCTGGACCTAGCTTCCACATTCGATAATAGTAACTGAAAATGATCCACTGGGCTGTATTTTAGTTGCATATCACCTTCTTTTCCAATCTGGATGTTTCAGAGATCTTTTCTAAAACATTCAGCACCTGCGTGCACAGCCCATTCAAAGCAGGGGGAAGCCGCTGTGAGGAATATTCAAATATATACTTTGTAGTGAAAACAAAATATACATCTTCAAAGACTGATCATGGGTACCAAGCTTGTAGCTTCTCCGGACTACATATTTTGCAGCATGAGCTGTATGAGTGCAGCTTGGGGACTGGCAGGCTTTTTATAGATAGAGCACCGGAAAGAGCTCCAAATGCCAATGATCATGAAAACAATGTTCATGGTTTTATTGTTTTAAATCTATTGTTTCACAGCCCTGATGTCCTCAAATGATTTTATATCAGCTCTTGTGAAACATAGTTGGACACTGTTACCTACTGTAACCTCACACTCTGCACTGCTCCAGTAGCAGACAGGACAACCAACTGTAGCTCAGAGAGTCAGAGATTCCTTCCCAGCACCCTGAACCCTGGGGAAAGTTGCACTTCTTTTTCTGGAGCACTTTACATCTCCCTATAACCCCCATCAGTTACTCTGGGCAGCAAATATAGGAGGAACAGAAACAAATCTACTCACACTCCCCACTCCGCCTTGCTAACAATGCAGAGTAGCTCCCTGTTCTCTTCCCTATAGTCATAATGTGAGCAAGGCTGAGCAAGGGGGAGGGTAATAGGGACTTTACTCCCCCTTATGCCCTACCATGGCTGAGCAAGAGTGGGGCAATCTAGCCCTATGGAAATTTAGCTTTTGTTTGGTTGCTGACAGAATAAGATGTGGTGCACAAGTACAGTAACATGTACAGTGCTAAAGATACAGCAAGTGCCACAATGAAAAAAATTAAGTTGAAGCAACAGTTGTGGGAACCACCAGAAAGAGCTGCAGGTATAAGAGCCCCACGAAAGACAAAAATTCCGAGGCCAGAAATATCCCTGCAATTGCGTCCCCCCTGCCTCATTTCTCTTTGCAAATCATTTGCCAACAGATCCTAACTTCTATGAATGGCTTTCCTATCTCTAAGTATTCACCACATAATTTATGCAAATGATTCTCTATATTGATGCTCTAGGGTGTTCAGAAACTGTCCCCCTAGACTACTTGCTATTAATAGGTTTCAGAGGAACAGCCGTGTTAGTCTGTATTCGCAAAAAGAAAAGGAGTACTTGTGGCACCTTAGAGACTGTGCCACAAGTACTCCTTTTCTTTTTTGCTATTAATAATGTGTGATCAGTGATTGAAGTTACATGGCATTGTTTCTGCTCCCTGACTGGAAGAACAAATCTTTTCATAAAGCAGAATGACAAATAAATGATGAATAATGAATAACAGCGACTCTCGTTCATGTAGAAATACCTGTGTCCTCATGTCACGGTGTGTATTTGTACAAAGGCCATTCCCCATGAACAAAGCCACCTTTGCACAAATATTCTCCTATATAGAATAAGATGGGATATGACTAGATTGAAACAAAGAGCCATTCAGAATTTGAAGTAAAGATCACAAACATTTTTCAATACAAAATGAAATCACCCAGCGAATCAAACTGTGGAAGGAGCCCTGGTGAGACAGGAGTTCCCTTTTTGTTTATACTCTACCCCAGGGGGCTAGTCCAGAACACCAGCTCAGGAGCAGAATCTTGAGGGTCTTTGGTTGCTGGGAACAGCATCCAAAACTTGGAACAGTACCTTGAGCATCAGCAGAGAGAGGAGGAAACCAGGGTACTGTGGGGAAATGTTGGTATGCTAAGCAGCTGTTGAGTCACAGGTAGGGGATGAGGCAAGATAAACAAACATCTTATAAAATGGAGCCTTTAAGTATTTTAAGTCCCTCTCTTTCCACCGTATGGCTCCTCTAGGGGTGGGGAGAGCAAGGAGAAGAGCATCTAACTACCTAGGCTATCTACTTATCTATGTACTTATGTGGCCACTGTCACCATAGCATCTGAGCACCTCACAGTCTTTTAATGTATTTGGCCTCACAGCATCCCTATGAGGAAAGGAAGTGCGATTATCTGAAGCACAGAGAGGCTAAGTGACTTGCCCAACATCACATTGGAAGTCTATGGTGATGGGAATTAAACCCTGGGGCTCCTGACATCGAGGCCAGTGACCTCACTACCGGACCATACTTCCGTAAAAGTCCATATTTTCTATTCTTCTTCGAGTGCTATCCCTCTGGGTGCTCCACTTTAGGTGTCGGTGCAGCCCTGCCAGACACTGCTGCCAAAAATCTCCGATTGATGGTGCAGGGACACACCGACACTGAAAGTGGAACACCCACAGCGACACACGTCTCGAAGAACCTCAGAAGCTGCACAAAGTGAATAACCCTCTCTGTTCAGTTTTTGGTTCATTCAAACGTGTTTGATATATCGACCCCTTATTTTGTCTGACTGAGACGCGATCACCAAGTTGTTAATGAGATCGGAACTGCGTGTTGTGCTAGTTCACTGTACCCCGATGTGGTTGATTTAAAACAGTCAGGGTCCAGGATTTGTGGTTTTATAATCTTTGTGAAGTGTTTCGCAGAAGAAAAGGGCTAGGGATCGTCCATTACCAAAAAGAAAAGGAGGACTTGTGAGACACCTTAGAGACTAACAAATTTATTTGAGCATAAGCTTTCATACTCCTTTTCTTTTTGCGAATACAGACTAACACGGCCACTACCAAGAGTTTTAACTATATCCTAAAGTCACTCAACTTTTCAAAGTTTGATCTTTTAGCCGAACATGTTTTTTACTGCTAAACTAAAGCCAATAAAAAACGCACCACCATTTTCAACATGAAAGTAACACCAGTGACATACCCTACTCTATTCTTCTGCAGAAAGCACTGAGCTATATGATTTTAGCTATAATAAAGTGCTCTCAAGAACTGCTTGGGTGATCAGCAGCACCACGAACTGCAGGTGAGCCCAATAACATGGCATAGTGCTGTGAAACCTACATGATGGACCAATAGGCAAACCCAGTTCTTTAAAATATCTCCATGATTTCCAATATTATTTCATCTGACCTTTAGTTAAAGGTCACCTTCACCACTCACGTGTCCCAGGAATCCTCCTCATATTCTTCTCCAATAATTCCGCACACTCTCCTTTTCCTCAACCACTGATTTGTGTCTTCACTTTCTTGAACAATAAACATTTCAGGACAGCAAAGTCCTTACTTATAAACTGCTAGGTGCATTTAGAGAGCTATGTGTGATTTTTAAAAAAACAATAAATAACATTAATAATAATGACAGGTTTCAGAGTAACAGCCGTGTTAGTCTGTATTCGCAAAAAGAAAAGGAGTATTTGTGGCACCTTAGAGAAAAACCAATTTATTTGAGCATAAGCTTTCGTGAGCTACAGCTCACTTCATCGGATGCATACTGTAGCTTATGCTCAAATAAATTGGTTAGTCTCTAAGGTGCCACAAGTCCTCCTTTTCTTATTAATAATAATGGAGACATCCAGTTTTATCTATCTGTAGTTCTAACACACCTACTGCCATCACATGATCATCCCCTGGGCCCTTGGGTGATTTCACAGTGATGGAGACAAGATAAGGAAACCGTATCAATATGCTATCAAGCACCAGCCAGTTTATAACATTTGCTGGTTCTTTATGAAATGTTTGTATTTCTCTTTGCAAAGGCTGCACAGTCAGTGTCCCTAGCCTCAGGGGATGGGAGGAAAAGCACTGACATTCCCAAATGAAAGTCACTTGCTAGGGATCTAGGGGATGGATAAGAAAGGTAGTTGCTCTGGGTTCTGTTTATTTATTTCTCCCCTTCCCTGCTAAATGCTCCATTTCCCCATAGCATCTTTTTACATTGGGAGGGTTCCCCAGCCTCTCTTTTTCTGGTATTATGAAGTGCTCAAGCATATTGCTACACTGACACTAAGGAAGCCAGATCTGAACACAGTTTTTGTATTGGTATAATTACATTGTGATTTTTTACCAAAATAGCTACATCAGTACAACCCAAGCACAGCCTAAGTTATGCCAATACATAAGAACGGCCATATTGGACCAGACCTGTGGTCCATCTAGCCAGTATCCCGTCTTCCAACAGTAGCCAATGTCAGGGGCTTCAGAGGGAATGACTAGAACAGGCAATCATTAAGTATAAAAGCGCTTATACTGATATGGTTTATTTCCCTTCCTGTACAGGAATAAGTTAACTTGGTATACAGTTCTACCTGGTGTATGTGCTGTTATTATGGGTGTAATTGTGTCTGCCAATCTCTATACCAGTATAGTTAAAGTGGTACAACCTGTGTGTATGGACAAGGCCTCAGAACTGCAAATACTCATGGACTGACTAAATGACAAACTATCATAGTTATAATCCCTTGCAAAAGAGGTACTAGAGTATTCTATACGAATTGTCCACTACAGTTCAGAAGAGTGTCACTGCCTTTCTGCTCCTCCCATCTGTCTGGAGAAATCATTCTGAATAGACTACAACACACTGAAACATCAATAGGAAGGTGCATTTATTTGTGTGGATAAGCAAAACATTTTTTTAAAATTATTTTAACTATTCCCCCCCCCCCACCCCTTTGCAGTTTCTGCTGTAAGTCAATGTTCAGAATGAGTCAGTGAGTCCCTGGATCTATTGTTGTTATTATCTATTACTTGTATTGTGATAGCACCTAGAAGTCCCAGACGTGGGCCATGACCCCATTGTGCTAGAAGCTGTAGAAGCATAGAACAAAAGACAGTCCCTGCCCCAAGGATTCGGGAGCTCATTGTGGGCCTTTTTGAATATGAAGATTCATAAATCAACATCTCCTCTGGAGAAAAGTAGTGCTTAAATGTCAGTGTGTCCTCTGCTGTATTTGATTCTATGGGTTCTGATGCTTTTCCAATGTCCAGTTTTGATACTTTCCTCTTTCAGACTGACCTGGTGAACACTATTGGAGAGAGTGCTGTTTTGGGGGCAGCAGGGGTTGTCCTTTGGGGAAGCATGCAGTATGCCAGCTCAAAGGTAGGTGGGGTGGATTTACAAACATTCACGGGTTAAGTGCTATGTCCTTGATAAGAGACTCTCTCCCCACCCATCCTCATTTCTACCATTTTACATCCTTACCATGAAGCTCTCCCTCACCCATCACTGTCACCAGCCTTTTGGCTGAAGATGACTGCTTGGGAGTCCTTTCACCTTGTTAACAACATACTTATATTAGCCATTGCTTCCTAGGAACCACATCCAGGGACCAAACATGGATGACATCCATAGCAGTGAATAGCTCTGATACCAAGATAATAAGATACAGTTTGAAACACTGAAATGTAAATGTAAACAGTCTGTTTAACAGTGTGCTGCTTGCATAATCTGTACATTACTAAACACAAGGCTAAGTATTTGGCAGGGGATGAGATGCAGAACATTTTTCACATACCAAATGTTGAGCGTTGTCCTAAATTTTATAACACAGTCATTGGTGGAATATAATCCCAACCTAAGAAAAGTCCTGCTCCTCCTCATAAGGCCCCAGGACTCACCTAAAGAAGTCTTATAATCCCCTCTCCTGGAATTACCAAAGGTGACAGAAGGTTGCATTGTCTATCCTTGCAAGGCACCTGATAGGCCAGCTCCCTCACCTCACTCTTGGAAAGGCTGCAGGTGGAGAAGGCAAGTTGACCTTTGATAGGGCATTAGCAATACAGGAAGACACAACCTCTTTCAATGTTTGACCCTGCTACTATCAAAGTCAATGGCAAAACTCCCATTGACTGCAGTGGCGTGGGATGAACTCCCAAACCAGTTCAGCGACCTAACATGGAGCTGAAAAAACCAAAAACTATTTTTCCACATTGCACACCAGCCAGTAAAAATTGTCTAGTAGCTACTAGGTTAAAGGATTATGGTGATCAGTGTAGAAATCCCTAGTGCTAAAGCAGTGTGTCAATAGATGTTTAAAACTTCTTTTATTTTAAATCATTCCTTTTCAACAATCACTAGAAAACCTTATTTTTAATAAAACATTCAATATGTTGCTACCAGGCACCCAAAAGAGAAAAGCAAGATTATAATAAAGGGCAATATCTTACTGGCCTTCCCATGAATGCGGATTAAGCCAGGGGGCTAATCACATGAGTAAGGCCTACAGGATTTATCTCAGTATATCACTTTAGCCAGTTCCATGTTAATGTTCTACCAAAAATATGGAAACTTGGACATAACTCTGGTTACTGATTAACATGTCACACTCTTGTTTTCCTGCAGGAGAGCTGTTCAGTTGTGAAAAAATACATAGATGGCCCCTTAGGACATTATGTCATTAATGTGACCTCAGCAGCCAAACTCTGCAGTAAAGTTCTGTGTAAGAAGAATGGGAGATGCATCCGTAAAATTAGTGACTCTTCTGCTTATCTGCACTTGTCGCCCAATAGTTTTGAGATTAGGGTCCACCATTCTGAAAAAGGCCCAAGATTCTTTGTGACTGGAAAACCTAAACCAGAAGACATAAAGGCCATGAAGCAAAGCTTCACATGTCAGTGTTACCAAGGCTGGACTGGGATATTTTGTGAACTGCCTGACCGAAGTGTATTTGAACAATGGGCTCACACTCTGTTTAATAGATCAAAAAATCAAATGCTCAACCTTCTCTTATTTGGATCCATGCAGGTTTTTCTGCTTCTCACTGTACACTAATGTTTCTTACAAGGAAGCAAGAAACATTGCAGTTGAGACTTCAGATCTCCTTGCTTAGCAAGCTTCTATTCAGATGGGAAATGGTGTTGCAGACTGTTGCTTTATTTTCATTCTGCTCTGTTTAAGTACCAATCCTACTGGTCAAGGCAGCGTTTTTGCACAGAGTGTTAAGGAGATTTCGAATGCATCTCCCTCTTACTGGCCCCACTCGTACTGTTCTAGCTCATTCCTTAATTAGTCAAAACTCTACTGATCCATTGGGAGTTTTGCTCGAGTGAGAAGCAAGTAAAGCTGGGTAAAGACTTCAGGATTTATCCTTAGACAAGCAGAAAAAAAGGATGTAAAGACCATTTATTTCAAAGGCTGGATGATTTAGAACACATTAATTCTGAGGATCTTCCCATTGACCAGGGGTCTAGACTGTACTCCTTTGTCCTGTTGATTCACAAGCTGCTCTTTGACTAAAGACTGGGCCTGTCTGCAGTTTCTGATAACCCAGTTCAATCTTTGCTACTTATTAAAAAAATCACCTCTAAAATCCATTCAGGTCTGGGATTCTCAGTCTCCTGATTGCTGGGAGGTGGGATGCTCCACTCTCCTTCCTTCCAGATAGGGAGCGTTGTGTGCTCCTCACTGCCTCTTGGGCACTGAATTCCCTACCTTCCACCCTGCTCAACCTACATATAGCTGGTAGAACACTCCTGTGACTGATGCCCCACTTGCCCTGCACATCACCAGACTGAGTTAGTGGATTAGAGAGATCCATCAAGAGCAGGAAATGGTGAGCAGCCTCCACAGAAACCCTCCGGGAACATATCATCCTCTCTTTCAGGAAGGAGGGAGAAAATGGAGCACCCCACCTCCCACAAGCTCTGCCCTGGCTCCCATGTAGGGGACCTCTGATCTAGATGATAGGGTCAGCACTTTGTAGCCTGATCCTCTTTTAAGTAAGGCTAGTGGAAAGATGGACTGAATAATTACTGGTGAATATAGTATCCAAGAAATGGCCCATCATACTAGTCCATCATACTAGTCCTATTTTTCAGTTGAAACTATATTTTAAAACATTAATTTAAAATAAGGCACTGGCCCATTTTCTCACAGGAATGCATCTATTTTTCAAAAAATTCTATCTTATATACAGTAGGTTTTTTAAAAAGTCATATATAAGTGACTTGATCAAATGGGTGACAAAACCAAGAAAAATTCTTTCTCTCTCTCTCTGAACTGAGTTGCTAGGTACAATATAAAAGTTGTTTTCTCTTGGAACTTCCAAATGATGGGTTGTGTAGAGTACTCACCTAGAGCAGTGTGCACTGAAATAATGAGAGACCTATGCTTGGATCGAAGAGAATATGGATACAATCCTTTACCCTGAGCAATCTGAGAGTTTATACTAATTATTCATGGTCAGAATTTGCCATCCTTACTCACACTGAGTAGCATCATATTCCATGAGTAGCTCCACTAAAATCAGTGAGACTACTCTCAGGGGAAAGTGCTACTCAACATGAGTAAGGGTGGCAGAATTTGGCCTCAGCTAGAGGCCATTCTTGATACTGGACTAAGTCTTGCTCAAGTAAAGCAAGTTACTTAAGACATTAATCTGCATATAGCACAATAAAATTCTTCTGTATATTTTGTATTGTTTGTACATCTTAAATTTATCCCCAACCATTACTGTAAAATAGGAGTCAGATTCCCAGCTGGTGAAAGCTCCGATGCTCAGATTTGCACCAGTTAAAAATCTAGCTCATAACAGAATTATAATGGATATTTTAAGGTTGCAATGACCAGTTTAAACCAAGACACTTAAGTGGGACTGACTTCAGTTAAATAGAGATCTAGTGCAAGTCTTAGTATTCTGAGTCACCACTGTAATGATATGTTGGGCTGAAATGCAACAATAAAGGTTCACAACTCAACTTTTACTTTGTATCACGTAACTGGAATGGCTGACAGCAAATCTGAAGGTAAAAATCTTTTTTTTTTTGGGGGGGGGGGGGTTGTTATTTGTAATTAAAAAGAAAACTTTTAGTACTGTGCCTAGAAATCATTACATTTTAAAAATTTTGTGTATACTCTGCTTTAGTTCTTTTCATGTTCAGTGTTCGTTGAGGTTAAAAGAAAAGTTAAGCATACATTCAATCCACCTCATTTTAACACACGCATTTGAAACAATGAGCTTAATTTTGTTAAATATGTGTCATAAGTAACAGGTTTGCTTTTTGGATTTGACATTTCTGTATTGTAGAAGAGTAGCCTAATTTGTTTTCATAAGCCACACTGTGGGGTGAAAATATAATGTTATTAGGCATATGTTAAGTGTTAGTTAAATGGTAGTGTTTATTTTTAGCTTATTTCATGTTTTATACTGTAAAGTATTTCTTCTATTTATACAGATTTTAAAGAATAAAATACTCAATATACTTAACAATATACACAAATTATTTGGTAATATAAATGAACCTAAGTGAAATTAACACAAGATCTTCCATGAAAAGAGTGCTGGTACTTTGTGTAACGTTTTATATAAAACAGTATGAACATAGGGGCCAAATCCCAAAGTTTTAATCGAGGGAAAAATTCCCATTTTAGTCAAAGGGCCATATCCTCAGTTGGTGTTAACTGGCATAATGCCACTGAAGTCCTTGGAGGTACGTCAGTTAACATCTGCTGAAGATCTGGCCCAAAGGCCCTGTTTCTGCTCCGATTTACCATTTTGACAGCAGTGTAGCTCACTGATTTCATTGAAGTTACATCTGGTTTACACCAGGTTTAGTGATAGCAGAGTCAGCCTCAATGGAAGGTTTGCCAGGGACTAAGTAAAAGTCTTTAGGGTTTGTCCCATATACTGCTAAGAAGTATTGTGAGCCAAATTCTCCTCGCAGACTTCAGTTGCGTTCCCTGGTTGTTGCCAGAAGAATTTGGCCTGGGATTTTTAATTCTTTAATATAATCAATGGAACTCAACATATAACTGAGTATGATTTTACAGATCTGAATTTTATATTTTGATTAGTAATCTTTGAGTACTTCCTGGTGTAAGAAGAAGGATTTTATAATTATGAGTCAGTTAGAAAGTGGTTTTCTTTAAGGCTACAGTACTCAACATGGGGCCCAATTAGCACACAGCTGCAGCCCAGCTCAGCTGTGTGCTAAAGGCTGTGGGCTCTCGGCTGCTTGCCACGCGGCGGGGTCCGGGTCCAGCGGGGTCTGGATCAGGGTCCTCATTGCCCCCTGTCCCCTCATGGCAGGAGTCAGGTCGAGGGTCAGGGGTCCCCGCACAGCAGGGTCCAGGTCTCTCCGCTCCTGCCCCCACTCTGTGGAGGGGTCTCTGGACAGAAGGCACTGAGCATAGGGGGTTTGTGGGCGGGGGCTTAGGCGGGAGGCCCAGGTAATACTTTGTGGCCCACATTGATAAATAGGTTGAGAACCACTGCTTTAAGGGGCTCTGTTACTATTGTCACAGATCTTAGCAAGAGCTACTTTCTGGCCATGCACTAGGACTGCTGTGAAGGGAATCTAAACCTCTGTGCTCTGGATTCCATGGGTTGTGTTAAGCTTCTGGAGCCCAAATGGAGTCTAGCCACCTCCCCAGTCTCTGGCTCACTAGGCACACTCTCAGGCGCAGATCTTCTATCTGGCACCCCTCTCCAAGTACTGGAACCCGCTGTCCAGGCGCCTCGCCCCTCTGGATGCAGCGTGGGCCCCTGACTCCTCAATACTTAAACCCAGAACTCTACCCAACAGCTGTGAAGCTTTTGGTTTGCAGTTAAATTATCTCGGGGTATGCACTAACACACACTTCATGCAATCAACTTTATGCTCCTTATGTTCAATCATGTAAAGCACAGGAAAGTACAGATCACACAAAACAACAGAACTTCATAAATGCAATGTCCTTCACTAGCTTACCCTTCCATTGAGTCACCCGCTTCTTTTGTTCTCCTCCTGATAACTTTCCACTACTTTCAACCCTGCTCCCTTCAGACAAGAGGAGGAAGTGTCTTCTCCCGGCTACAGCAAACCCATTATCTCAAGGTGTTTTACTTTGAATCGACAATCACTGAGTGCTGATCACTCATAGTTGTCTCTGGCCTGGCACAGACCTGATACAACCCTGCTACCTCATTGTGGCTCCACATGCCTATAGGCTTTCCGTGAGACAATAACTTCATGATCTAATTTCATAAAATTATCCACAATTCAGAAGTGGGACAGACAGAACCTCCAATTCATCACAACTATAACAACCTTAATATGTCCATAAAAGGCCACAGAGCATTAGGAGTATTATTGTACTTTTTCATTGAAAGCTGTGACCATAACAGCTTACAATGTGGCATTCAGCCTCTGCCATTGCCCCTTACTTGGCAGTGAGGAGCTTGGCAAGTGGTCTGGCGCACAGCAGGACTGTATAGCTCGTATCACCCTGTAGGTGCAGCCAGCCAACTCCAGTAGAAGAGGCCGGTATGGAGAGAGGTGAAGCCATCACCCCCTCTTCTTCATTCTCCCCTCTTTTGAGCTGCCAAGTGAGTGGTTCCTGAACCTCAAGTGCAGGGACCACAATTGTGACGGGCATCTGTTGAACTTTCCTGCCTGACACAGTCTGGCTGTTAAAGGGTGGGAAGGATGGGTTTTTTGGTCATAAGCATCTACATGTTCTTTTATTTCCAATTGACATTAAATTAATGTGAATCTTGACAGGGTTTGAAGCCCAGACCCTCAAAGGTATTTAGATACCTGCCTCCCATTGAAATATAGGGGCTTAAAACTAACTAAAAAAGTAAACCTTCTTTGAAGTTTAAAGATGTTTGGTTAATGTTTTTGCCCTGTTAGGCGTGCCTTTGTGTTTGCTGATACTGGTAGGACCAGATGCAGACATACCCTGTAAATGGCCTTTCTTGCAAAAACCCAACCACCTGGAGGATACAGGGGACATATTACCTCACCATTTTTTATTAGTTCATTGATGTCCCCACAATGTGGTTGCGATCTGCGCATTATCACTCATGTATCAACCTACCAGTATTTGTTCTGCATGGTTGCACTGCTGCTTTCTTGCCATACTTCTGATCAAGCCAGAATCCATGTACTATTGTACAAATAATAAACAGGAAATAGTGAGATCTCACAAACCAGTCAAATTACAGCTTTCATCCAAGCCCATTTAACACACCATAATTGTTATGATGGGACTCACCAGATGGTGCTGTTGCACATAGTCTTACAAGTTCTTTTTCTTAGCATGTGCACACTGTTCAGTCTTTGAAAAAATGCTTCACTGCTGTTAGTTTTGTGGTATGGTATTTTGGGGGGAGTTCTGGCAAGCAGCAGGGCAGTTTCCTCTTTGCTTAATTTTGCAAACTAAATTCTTTAGGCACAGTTTCTCCCTGGGAGCTGGTCACTGGTGTTTTGGCTGAGATTTCTGAAAAAGGGAATTTTCTGCTAGCCATGTGTGACCACCTCTGTTCCAGGACTGGTGTCTATAGTCTGTAATAAACAAGTTTCACAATGAATATACACAGACTATTACTAGTACTGATTTATCTTCCAACAGGAAGCTGATCTGTAAGGCCCTGACGTCTGCTACCCTACAGCAAAAAGCTAGCAATACCATCACAACTACGTGTTCAGATTACACATTTGCTCTCCTTGTAACTTGCATTTTAGCCAGTTGAAATTTCTCAAATTGTAAAATTCAGAAAAATGTTTTGTTTAGTTTGTCCCCCTGTCTTTTTGACTAGCTGTAGCCGTGGGACCTAAGCAACACAAATATTTGTTATCCAGTCTTATATTCCATTGCTGGTAGGTTTTTCTTCAAGCACTGAACAGTTCTAGGCCTGGTCCTGTATTTCTTTTGCCCCCAAAACTGAAGTAAAGATAAACAAAATCATCACCCACAAACAGGAAGGGGCAGACCAGAAGTAATACAAACTTGAGACCCAGTATCTTGCATCCAAAACTTTCATTGAGAT